TATAAATTTTTTGGTTTTTTTATTAACTTTTTTACTTTTAGGATAAAACTCTCGCATACCAAACATGGCCGAAATTACTAAGAATAAAAAATACAAAAAATTAATTAAAAAAACTTAAAAATTGTACTTTAAATTAAAAATTAATTATTTTTTTAGTTGGGGGGTGATAGAGTGATATTTAGTGGTAGCTCAAGGTGTAAAGTGTAATTTACTTTTATAGTTAAAAATGACATTTTCATTATTAAAATCTGAATTGAAAAAAAATAATAACTGAAGGTCTTTTTTTTGCTTTCTAATAAATGAGAAGGTTAGATGTTATAATTTTTAATTCAAAAAATAAAGTAACATGAGATAATAATTTAAGAGATTAAAATATAATTTGTCCTAACTAAAACTAACGAGACCAATATGACTACGGTCTGGCTATCTCCAGTCCAGATCTAGAACAGTTCGGTCCAGTCTGATTCATCGGCTCACTTTTGAGTTATTTTTTAATAATCTGAATCGTTTATATTTTAGAGTTTGTTGAGTATATTATTTTTATAAAAAATCATGTCTTTCGAATAACGGATATTATATATTCGGATCACTTTTGTCAAAAAAAATAAACGGTCAAAAAATTAATGGTTCATAAAAAAGTAATTTGAACACATAGTATCCGTTATCCTATCGACTTAATTTTTTATAAAAATAATATATTTAATAAATTTTAAAATATAAACAATTTAAATTATTAAAAAGAGATTAAAAAATAAGCCCACTAAACCAGACTAGACCAGCCTATACCCAAACAGAAGTCGACAAAATTCAATCTCTGAAAAATACACAAGTCCACAAAATTAGGTCCCACCGTCAACTAACCGAGACTTCTATGCTAGACATCCCACCCTCAATAGACGTATATAGTAGACATTTATGTACCATAATAAATATCCTATATACGGAATGACTTTACACAAACAAACACAAGTACACAACACAAAATGACGTCCCACCGTTAACCGGTCAAGTTGGGCACCAGCAGGTCAACATGTAGGAAGTCGGTAATCTAGGTATGGTAAAATAGCTTGATTGGTCAGTCCTCGATTCCGCCCGATTTTCATGGGATATGTTTGGAAGTTGGTAAAAAGGATGTGATGAAATTTAAGGAAATTGTTAAGTAATTTGATTGGGTTGGAGTGGAGAGTAGGGAATATGTTTTTCGCTTGAACTCGATTGGACTTGCAAATATAATAATAAATAAATAATAATATTATATATATGTAATATACGTATAATATATTGTTAAATTTTTATAGAATATATAATATTTACACAATGTATTATTGAGTTTATATAATATTATATATAATATAATTTTAACACATATATAATATATAATATTATTTTATTATTTTTAATATATATAATACGTAAATATTATTTTTTAGTTTTAATTTTGGGAGATTTAATAGAAAATTATTTTTCAAGTGTTTGTATCTCAATTAGTTCATAAGATATTCTTATTTTTCAATAAGTCCTATTATTTGAACATTTGATATACCAAATTATAATTCTCATATTTAAAGTACTTTTTGGATATTTCTACCCTTACAAAATATTTTTTGAACGGTTAGCAATTTGGTAATGTGAACATACATATTTTACAATGTGAATATTCACATTGACATGTGAATATTCACATTGATAGTGTGGACATTTACATTGACATGTTAATATTCACATCACGAAACATTCGCATTGTAAATATGAATATTATTAAGGATATTTTGATAATTATGTTACCTATAAGACTTATTGAAATATAAAAAAATAATATAAATTAAATAAAACGTAAATAAGTTAAAAAATATTTATGAAAAACTGTCCCTTTAATTATTAAGTTCTAATATTATTGTTAAATTTTTAATTATATTGCGGATTGGTTAGGGTGAAAAGTGGGGGTTACATTTGCAGATTTGAGTGGGAGTGAGGAAGAATTTCACGGCGGTTGCATTGAAATTGGGGGTAAGTGGCAGAAATAGAGGTGGATGGGTAGGGTAAGGGTTGGTTTGGGATGTTCTAAAAAAGTGTACTTTTTAACTTATTGGCTTATATGGGTTGGGTTTGGGTTTGGTTTGATGTGATGTGTTAGAGAGATGATGTGATTTAAATAAGATGATGTGACTTAAATAAGATAATGACTTTTTGACTTTTTGGATTATTTAGTAGATGCCAAACTTGACCTTAATCTGGGTTGTCAATAATAACCAAATCTCAAACACTTCATTTGGATGGAGGGTTTTTGTGAGAAAATAAAAGAAAAGAAAAGAAATAGTGAGACTGAGAAATCTCTTCACTTATTTGTATTGTTAAATAAATAAAAAATAGTGATAAATGATGAAAGATATTGAGAAAATGATTCTCACCAAATCTATATACCAAAAGTGATGAGATTTGATGAGAAAATAATTGAGTTTAATGAATTTTTTTTAAAATACCAAAATTATCCTTATGAAAAAACATAATTCATTAATATAGAAACTTATTTTGATAAAATAAAATACAATACTTTTTTTTTTCTTCTCTTATTTATTCTATCCAAACAAAATAAGTAAGATTCACCTTGTTTGGTTTGGTTTGGTTTTTCAAGATTCACTTTTCAAAAAATTAATTTTTTTTTTCATGGAATTTTTTTAATATTCTAAGAATTATTTTTTAATTTTTAGATACACTTAATATAAATAGACTTAAAAAGTATAATATTTATGAAAAAGATATTTAAAAAATTCACTAAATATCAAAAATATAAAAAAAATACGAGAATTCAGTATATATATATTTTTTATATTCTTGTGTATTTATTAATTTTTTAAAATATTTTTTTACAAATATTTTACTTTTTACATATATATAAGTAAGGTGCATCTAAAAAAAATAAAAAAATTACTTAAAATTTAAAAAATATTCACTAAAAATAAAAATATACGAAAAATAAAAAATTTAATTTCTAAAAATTAAAATTCAAAAAATTGAACAAAGACAATGAATTATCTTTTATTTTATTTATTCATAATCATTGTTTTTTCTTTCCGCTAGGTAGGGGTGTAAATTTGGCCTGACCTAGCCCGGCCCACGTCGAGTCTTGCGGGATCTTACTAAAATTCGAGCCGGGGTGGGCTAGCCCACGGGCCATAAAATTAGGTCCAGGTCCAGGACATGCCAAGCTGATGGGCCTAGGCTTGGGCTTGAGCTCGGGCCTGGGCCAGGTTTGAACTTTTTTTTTAAAAAAAAATTTCCTACCAAAATTTGGGTTAATTACAAAAAAAAAATCAGAGGATTTCACGTGTTTTTCAATTTAAATCATAGAATTTTAATTTCAACAAATTAAACCCTAGAGTTTCATCCGTGATTCAATGTGGTCCACCATCCGTCTCCGTTATATTAAACTAATGGAAATCTGTGCAGAATTTGAAATTCAAAACTACATGTTCAAACACTTGTATCTCCCTCGTCATAACTCCGTTTTGCCTTATTTTTGCGTCGTTGGATTCGCCTTATGGCCTAGTTTTCATTCCACTCTTCATACGCCTTGTTCCATATCTTTTTACCTGCCGTCGGAGCTCTGAAAGTTGGCCAAAAATAAGATTTTTCTCTCTTTGGTTAAAATTTTCATATTCAAACTCACATATTCAAATACTTGTATCTCTCTCGTCGTAGCTTCATTTCACCTCATTTTTACGTCGTTAGATTCACCTCATGGCCTAATTTTCATTCAACTCTTCATACACCTTGTTCCACATCTTTTTACTTGCCGTCGAAGTTCCAAAAGTTGCAAAAAATAAAAATTTTCTCTCTTTGGACAAAATTTTCATATTCAAATTCACATATTCAAAGCAATTGTATTTCCCTCGTTGTAATTTCATTTCACCTCATTTTTGCGTTGTTAGATTCAACCCATGGCTTAGTTTTTATTCCACCACTTATATGCGTTGTTTCACCTCTTTTTGCATGCCGTCGGAGCTCTGAAAGTTGGCCAATTTTTTTTTTTCCTTTATCACAACATTATTCTTGGCAGTGGAGATGCAATGGATGATACTTGATTGGAAACCAATGTACCCTAACATGCTCATCAACCCATTTGGTTTTTGATTTTTATATGTAGTTGTATACCTATCATTACTTGACGACACCGCCACCATTACCACCACCACCTCATTTTGCAGATAATGATGATGAAGCAGCAACAGCAGCAAGCCAGGAGGAGTCGCGGAGGAGGAGGAGGAGGAAAAAAAAGAAGAGAGAAAAAGCCTATTTTTTGTCAACTTTCGAAGATTCGACGGCATGTAAAAAGAGGTGAAACAAGACATATGACGAGTGAAAATGAAAATTAGGCCAGGAAGTGAATCCAACAACGCAAAAATGAGGCAAAACGGAGTTATGACAAGGGAGACATAAGTGTTTGAACATGTGCGTTTGAATTTAAAATTCTGCCCAAATTGCCATTAGTTTCATATGATGGAGATGGATGGAGAGACCAAATTAAAACACGAATGAAATTCTAGAATTTAATTTGTTGAAATTAAAATTTTGAGATTTAAATTGAAAAACACGCGAAATCTTAAAATCTTTTTTATAATTAACCCTTTTATTTTTTTAAAAAAAGACATTACGGTCTCGTTTGGGAACAGACTAATTTAGTAACTTTTTGACTATTTGGCTAAAATATGAGTTAAAAAAAACTAGTATGTTTGAGATTACTTTTTGACTTTTACCGAAAAGATGTGCAAAAAGTAAAAAAAAAAGAGAATTTTTAACTTTTTGATATGAATTTTTGAGTTTTTAATTTTTTTAATAATTTTTTGACTTTTTAAACAAAAAAATTACTTACCAAACAAGACCTAAGTCTCAAACGGACCGAATTTTGAGTTGATCTTAAGCAAGCGGATGGAACTCACGAACCATACCGGATTTCAAAATAATAACCCAAACCCTGAATTCGGGCCCGGACCCAAACAAACTGAACCCACCCCAAAGCCGGTCATGTCCGCGGGCCATTTTTACGCTCCCACCGCTAGGCACCTTCACCTACCTCTCCTGACCTTACCTTACCTTGCAATCCGAGCAGCGTGGAAGTGTCACGCTCACCATCATGGCCCACTCTTGGTGTTTTGACCATTGAGACCCTCATGCTCCTTAACCGGCGCATCCCTTCTGTACCACCACAACAACAACCACCGCCATTCCAATCTCACGCTTCATATCGTTCTCTCATTGTTTGTGATTCCTCACTCCGTTTTTACAACCATGAAGCAAAGCTCAAGACGAAAGCATCATCATCGTCAACGAGTGGTATATATTACTCTCTCTCTATATATATATATATATGTATGTATGTATGTATGTATGTGTATACACTTGTATATGTGAATTCTCTGTTTTCTAGGGTTTTGTTGTTGTTGTTGTCGTCGTCTTTTCTATTTTTCTCTTGCTTTGCGAACTGCAGAGAAGTTGGGCTGAAATATGTTGTTTCGGTTGCACCTGCCTACAGCTGTTCTGGTCTAAAGTGATGATGCGCAAATGGCTCAACATCAATGCTAAGGACTCCGATTACAGCGCCGACCCTCACGACGCCGGCTCCGATTCCGATTCCGATTCCCAAGGTCAGACACTAATAACCATCAATTTTCAACTATCCAACTCCTCCCTCCAAAATTCACAATTTTTCAATTTTGTTGAATTATCATATAGTTGTATCATAATCATTTATATACATATATATATATATATATATATTATTTATTTATTTATTATTATTATTTTTTTTGAAGAATCTGAGTTTGAATGTGGGGTGTTGTTTTACAGAATTTTGCGAGCGGGATAGTGAATCGGGATTTCGGAGTGGCAACAAAGGGAATCCCACTGGTAATATCCACTTTTTAAGGTTGGGTTATTTATTTATTATTTGTAGGGGGAATTACACTGATATGGTGTCAGTCAAAAATATTTACAAAACAAGGAAAAATATTAGTATAAATATTAATAATTAAAATAATATTTTTTTTCACTTTTCTAAATAATTTTTTGCTGTTCCACTTTTGCCCCTTATTTTTAGGCTACTTGGCTTTCATGTCCTTTACGTATCATATACCGTATGTGACGGGTTCAAAGTGGTTGTACCTTACTTTGACCAAGGCTTGATATGCATGCTTTTTGAGACTGATCTTAGAAACATATGTAGAGAATCATCATTCTGTTCCTTGAACTGCTGTTGTTGCTTTTGTTTGTTAGTGAATTGTACAACTCTGTATTCTTAAATATCGCATCATCACTGCAGTCAGGTATAAGTGCATAACCTTTATTATCTCTAACTTCAGAAATCTTCAGCAGGTAGGTACTGACTTTTAAAATTGTACAAAGCACTCTTAACTTCAATGTTAAAAGCTAAGGAAAAAAATGATCATCAAATAATCATCCCCACAATTTTTCCCCTTTTTATGATAAAGTTGTTGCTTTTGTTTTTTGGGGGGGATTGAGGGGAAAAAATTGTGTGGATGAATCGTTGTTGAAAAATGAAACACTTTATAATGTGTTGCCAATGCTTTTATTCCCTTCTAAAACATTTTTACAGGATGGTCAATTTGATCATTGTTCTGGGGAAAATTCTCCGGTGTGCAATGTATGCTGTAAGCAATCCTATCACAAAATTACGTAAGTTGAATACAAATTCACGTTACGTTTTATTCATAAAAGTGAACTAATGTGAATTTGCATTGAACTTATGCATTTTTATAATATTACTCATGTAAATTCATGAAAACATACATAATTTTGTAGTAGGGTTGTATTGCAAACCCCGAGCATTACCCTTGCCAAGTGGGGCAACCCATGTACAAACACCAAGGGGTACAACCCAAGGGAATGCAACTCATACACAAAAACAAAGACCTATATCAACTATACATCAGAAGGCCTCTAAAAATTGATTCAAGGATTCATCAAGCACACTCAAGAAACAACTATACAAAATGGATAATAATAGTTCTATTTAATCTAAATATAGACTCTTGCTTTCCCATCAAACGTTTCTTTTGTGCTGTTCCCACACAATACACACCAACGCCAAAGGCACCAAAAACCAAATCTTCTTCTTCCTTTTTGTCCCCACTCCAAGTCCTCTTTGAGAATAAAGAAGCTCCCCTACCTCAAAGATTGCACATCTTGCACCACCTCTCAATGTGGACCATAAGATGGCTCATGAACACGCCATCATGCATAGACGTACAGCACCAATTAACATGGACTTTCTTTCTCTATACAAAATTGTCAATGGTTAGAATTTTACCATCCACTGCAGTCCACAACCTTAGAAGGAGCCTTGGTTCCCCTATTACTTTCAAAGGAAATGGTACCCTCCTGTGACCTGTCACAACCTCATAAAAAGGCTTAACCTCAAAACTTCTGGGCTTTGATCTCATCCATCTAATAGCATTTCCCTCATCAATAGGAATAGTGTAAAAACACCGAAGAAGCTCCAACATTGCCCATACCTCCCAATCATTCAGATCTTTGCAAAAGCTAATCTCCCAAAATTACATGATTACTGGTCTTCCATCTACTGTGAGATACTCATTGATGGATGCATCTTCTTTGTTCGTCACAATGTGAGCAATAAGAAAACATGCCCTTCTAACTTCACTCCAAAATATGCAAACAAGTATTTTTTTTTTTTCATGGTCACTTGAGCCCTTGACAGAAAGTTTGACAAAGCAAGGCCAGTGGTGTTTTCTAAGTCTAAATTTTGGGGGGCCTCATGCATTGGGTTACCCATTTTTTATACCTTTTATTGAAATTTAAATTTATGTCATGAGAATGTTTAGTGAGTTGCATTATGCAATTTAATTACATTTTGGTACATTTTTCTTCTGGACTCAGATGCTCTTTCCAGAATAAGAAGACGGAAGTCAGAGACATTTAGGGCACAGTATATAAACCCAAAGGAAATCAAGTAAGCTACCCCTTTTACATATATTGAAACAGAAGCTGAGTGGCCTTTATTTGGCAAGTTCAAGCACTACTAGTTTATGAGGTTCTGTTAGCCAAGCCTTTATCTCTTTCTGCTGTCTTTTATGTTTCTAGAGTATGTGTTGGCACATGGAACGTTGGAGGAAAGTTTCCACCTGATGACGTAGATATTGGAAGTTGGTTAGATATCAGCAAGCCTGCTGACATGTATGTGATTGGGTAAGTGCTTAATGGGGAATTCCTCTGGTTGTGCTGTTTCTATTAGAGCATCATAGCCATGCAAATCATTTCTTCTTCTGAAAATGGTGCTTATATCAGTTTCTTTTGATCCAGTCGATTTTATTGGAGTAAAATGATTTGTTTAAGAGTTTTTATTCCTCATATGTGTGTGTATGTACATGTGTATATCCTCTTCTTAAAATACCAGCAAGGGACATGTCTTTTTATGCACGAGAAAGTTCATTATAGAGTAATTGGTATGATTTATATTTACAGTTTTCAGGAGATTATACCATTAAATGCTGGCAATGTCCTTGGTGCTGAAGATAGCCGTCCAGTGCTAAAATGGGAAAACATTATTCGTGAGACCCTTAATAGAATTCAACCTGTGAAGACAAAATTTAAATGCTACAGTGACCCCCCTTCTCCATCAAGGTTTAATCCATCTGATGATGCCCCAGATATAGAAGATGAAATAGTGCTTGAATCTGATAGTGATGGTGAGGAGGAAATCCTTCCATCAAATGAAGAATCCAGTGGTTTTGATGAAGTCAGGGATGGATCAGTCACAGGTGAAAATGTGTTCATGAATTCTGAAGCTTCAGTTTCTAGCTATGATGCCCATAAAGGCATGCTACTTCGATCAGATTTAGAGAGGCAATTTTCTTCTCCAAAGAGGATGGATAAGTTGAACTTCCTTAGAACAGAAGATTGTACAGGAAATGCAGAAGCATCACATGTTCAATACAATAGCAAATTAATGAAAACCCTATACAATAGCAAATCAATGAAAACACTCAGTGGGACAGAAAGGATTGGTTTGAGCTGGCCAGAGCCACCATTGGATATGCTGGCCAGGCACATTTTAGACAGATCTAATTCCTTGAAGTCTATTAAATCTTCCAAAGCTTCCAAATCTTTTGGAAAATATAATTCTCTCAAGTTTTATAGGACTGGTGATAATAGATTGCGATCAGATGCAGCTTTGCTTGCAGAACTTGATCTTGAACCGCATATGTACCAGAAAAGAAGACCCCATTTTGTAAGGATAGTAAGCAAACAAATGGTTGGAATTTTTCTTACTATATGGGTTCGCAGAAGCTTTCGTAGGCATATCCAGAACTTGAAGGTGTCTACTGTTGGTGTTGGTGTTATGGGCTACATAGGTAACAAGGTTTGTTATTTTGTTTTGTATTTGTATTTTTCTTTTTTTGTTGTTGTTTTAATAATGATTACTTGCATATTGATAATACTGCTTGCTGACCATCTTTATTAGATTTGCTGGTCATTTATACAAAATTTACATTGTAATTCTATTTTATTTTTTTCTCTGCATTTTCTGCTTTATATAGGGTTTATTACAGAAAATTGGGTTAGGCAATTTATACTGTTGTGGACTGAGTAAATTCATTTAGTGCATTTTGTCACTTGCGCTCTTTTGTTAGCATCATCACAGCAAGCATATATACGATAATGGAAAGAATAAACTAAAACTAGATTCATCACAGTAAGCATATATACGATAATGGAAAGAATAAACCAAAACTAGATTTTTTTTAAAAATTACTTTATGATAAGTGTAAACAAACTATATCCTTGAATTGTTCCCCAATTTGCAAGTTCTTCAATAGTGCTATTGGTGCCTCACTTCTTTGTTTGTCTTGTGCATAAGCCTCTGATGTAACTGCTAGTGCCCTCTAAATTGGAATGAAGTAAATATATTGGTGATGAGTCAAATTTGGGTTCACTGTCTCCCTTTATTTTGCCTCATTGACTTCAGCTTTATAATATCATGAATTTCATTCCTCCATGGATCTCATTGGTGATATGTCTCACACCCTTGTACAAATTATATTATAGTTGAGAAAAATGTTAGTTTGATATATATGGTTGGACTTGTTTCCTAATTGCTTAAGCTTTTGGGAATAGTGATGATCTAGCATGGTATTAGAACTCTGTTTCTAGGAAGTCTTGGATTCAAGTATTGTTTTGACTCTCCACATGTGCGACAGAGTCACACATGAGGCGTGTGTTAGCTTGATATGTATTGTTGGACCCATCCTAATAGCTTAAACTTTTGGGACTGGTGGTGCTACAATGCTCTGATACCAAAGTTTTGATGCCATGTTGGACGATCAATTGCCTCACAAGTTTAAGTTATTAGGTAATGGCCATGGTATATGTTGCATATCTGCGACATCCTTAGGAAGTTTCCTCACTATCTAGATTGAACTAAGAGGTGGGATGATAGTAATAGTTCTATGGTTTTTCTATAATTTTTTACTCATTGTTGCAGTTGCTTTTGGTGGTTCCCCAGCATGTGGAGCCCCCTTTGCGCAACTCACATGAGTTTCGTATACATTTTTCTCACAATAGCATGTCTTGTTGGTGAATTACTTTATGTTGCTTCTCATTGTGTGGATTGATATTTTGTAAAGAGTATTTACATGACTTACATTTTAGTGAGTTTACTTGCTTTATTTCTTCCTCATTTGTTAGAACGCATTAAGCATTACTGCATGCTGTAATAATGGTGATTTTTCAATCTTCCAGGGGTCAATATCTGTCAGCATGTCTATATATCAGACACTATTTTGCTTTATATGCACTCACCTAACCTCAGGTGAAAAAGATGTGGACAATGTTAAAAGAAATGCAGATGTGCATGAAATATATCGAAGGACTCATTTTCATCCACGTTCAACTATTGGACTTCCCACAAGCATCCATGACCATGAGTGAGTATAGTGCATACTTTATGGAAACTTTTAGAGGACTTTGTATCTTTTTGTATGGCATCTCTCTCTCTCTCTCTCTCTCTCTCTTGCATGTGAGCCCAATAAATATATATATATTTTGGTGGGTAAATCTGTTATTTGTTTTGCTACGTTTGTTGGCTCATATGGAGGCAGCCATTGTTCTTTTTTTTTTTTGATAAATAAACAAGCTTTATTGGAAGAGCATCAAGAAGATGCAACGAATACAGAACTACCAAGAGAACCTACCACCCTCTAAACAATAAAATCATCTAAAAAATCTAACAAGAAAAACAAATCTAGATCAAACTTACATTCCATCCAACTATACAAAATGGAAAGAAGACGACTCTCGAGCCACGAAACACTATGACGAACCTCTTAAAAAGTTCGCCTATTACGTTCTAACCAAACTAGCCACATCAAACAAAGAGGCACCATAGACCATACACGTCGCCGCCGCCGACCAACCCGAGCTCCACGCCAACTCCACAACATATCCACTACCCGCCGCGGTTGAACCCAAACAATCCCAAAAAGAGAACACATAAGTCCCCACAATCGGCTAGCCACCAAACAGTGCAAAAATAAATGGTCAACAGACTTAGCATCCACATAGCACATAAAACACCGATTCACTAGAAAAAGACCACGCCGCACCAAATTATCAAGCATAAGATTCCGTCCTAAAGCCGCCGTCCACATGAAGAATACCACCTTAAAGGAAACTCTCAACACCCAAATACTTTTCGAAGAAAAATCCCTCCTCACGTTCCCTGCTAAACACCGGTAAAAGGATGAAACAGAGAAACGCCCTTTAGTCCGCACCACATTCCACCCCAAAACATCTTCTCCCACCCCAGTCACACCCAATCCGTACAAATAATCCCATAGCTACAGCAATTGATCAAACTCCTAGTCTTGGACCGGTCGCCGCAAAAGCATGTCCCAAACCACCACACCCTCAGCCCGCAAATAAGATGCTACCATAGCGTCCTGATCCCCTGCAATTCCGAAATTAGCGGGAAACAATCCGCTAACACAACTCCGCCACACCACTTATCCTTCCAGAAACGCACTCTCCGCCCATTACCCATCCGAAAATCCACCCTTGCCCAAAATTGCACCCGCCCCAATTCAATCCCTTTCCATAAGCCACACCCACAAGAACCAACCACAGCCCCCGCCCCCCACTCCCCCCTAGCCAACCCAAACTTACTAGCCACCACATTGTTCTTGATTATGCAACTAGGTAAAATAAACAAAAAATAAGGACATATTTCATCCAGTTGATTAATTTGCTATTTTTGGGATGCAAAGCTGGCTTGTAGGTCTTACATTATCTTGAACCTATAAATTTTGTTTAGAACTCATTTTCCAATAATTTCTTTTAAGGGGTTTGTTTGTGAAGAGATTTCTGTTGCATCTATATTTTTGGGGGGATTAGCTGCATCTACATCAATTTCTATCCATAACTGGGGAAGTATTGGTTGTAAAAGGTTCTTGTTCTTCAGTAAATGAAGTAAAAAAATAAAGTCCCTCTTTGTTCTGCTCACAATTTGTATAATTTTTAATTTTTACAAAAAATAAAGAAGAAAACTGTTAGGCTGGAGTCTACCATTGGTTTATTCCTCCTCTTTTTTCTAAAGCATCGATCACGACAACCTACTTTCTACTTTCAGTGCAGAATATTGTTTAGCAGAGCTGCATTTTTTCTCCATGCATGAGCTACTTTTGTATTTGTGCTACATGCATCGCTGAAGGATGAAAGCTTTGTGCTCATGTATGTATTCGTTCATTCATGCATTTATTACTAAAGGCACGAGGTCTTTAATATTGTATGAATGTGTAGGTCCATTGTTTAACATTAAACTTAACTGAAGACATGACTTTTAACAGAACCAACCAGAGAAAATGGATCTATGTAGGGCCAAGACTTCTTGAGTTGAGCTTATTTTAAAATTTAAGAAAATTAAGAAAAAATGTGAACAACGTAGAAAACGAAGATAATAACTGTCATTTTTTTTTATAGGATTGTTAAGGACTCTCATTTTTCACCAAATATCTCTTTAACCCCTTCAACTTCAAAATCGTACATTTGAACCCCCTCAACCATAAAATTGAATCACTTTCATCCCTTTAGAAGAGAGGTGTTTATACAGTTTTTTTTTTTTTTAGTAGTTGAGAGTTCTAAATGTATGATTTTGTAGTTGGAGGGGTAAAGAGATATTTTAGTGATTGTTGAGGGGGTGCTTGTGTAATTTACCCTTTTTCTTTATTCATTCATAAGAGGTGAATATGTCAAATGGTTGTTGTACCTTTTGCAGAAGAATAATCTGGTTGGGTGATTTAAATTACCGGATCAATTTGTCATATGAGAAAACTCGACAGCTTATCTCCGAAAAGGACTGGTCCAAGTTGGTTGAGAGTGACCAGGTAGGTTATAATTATAACTTTTATTATTCTGTTTTCGCTGTTATAGTTTGGATTCTTAAACAATCAATCTAATTTAGTACCAATCTTGGTTTTACACCGCTAAATTATGAATTTTGGTAGTTTATCATTCTGTTCTATGTTAGTCCATATATTTAGTTTCCTAGACTTACAGAATGCTAGATACTTATGAAACATTCTGAGTTCTGTGGATTAGTGCTGGTAAGCTCTAGCTCATTTATTTGTCACAGTCATACATTTTCTTGTGTTTCCCCAAAACCTTCTTTCCTCAACTGAGTGTCCCAATAATACTCATTCCTGTAAAAGAAGCAACCACACCTTCGATCATCTAAGATACTTAACTTATTATCTACCATATATAGATATAACAATTTCTTGTTGGACTTATTGATTTTTCTCCTTGCACTCATTTTAGTTATCCATGTGATATGCAAAACATACAAATTCTGAAGTGCACCATACTGACTGAAATTTAATAAAGTATCTTAATAAGTTTTGATCTTAATAATGTGTGTATTTTTGTTAAATTATTTGTAAGGGGAGTAAAACTCATCTATTGATGTTCCAGTGAATATATTTTACCCGAACTGTTTATGATTTGATCCTTTATTAACTTTTTAGCTACTCTTTTAATTGGTAATCCAACTGAAACTAAACAAGTCTTAATAGTATCACATGCTCTGTTTTATGTTCTGGCCTGCTTTACTATGGATGATTAGCGTATTTTGTGTATTGCTAAACATAATGTTTCTGAAATACTGATGTTAATATATGCTCTAGATTATAGTTTCCATGCGGTTGATACAATACGTTAGTCCATGGTAATTTTGGATGGCATTCTTTTTCTTATTGTTAGAAACTTTTAAATAGGCATATGGTGCCCAGATAAGCTGATGGGTGTAGCCAATGCCTAGTTGATTGGACCGTTTTAGGTTGTATGCTTGACAAATTATTTATATGTTTAATTTGCATTGCAACTATTTTAGTGCTGTTTGGTAATGTTTACAGTTTACTGTTTTTTGTTTGCAGAAAACATTAAACATGCTTTTGTTTATTTTTGATAAAAATGAAAACAAAAAAAACATGTTTGATGCAACATGTTTTAAAAACTTGTTTGAAAGCAAGTGAGGGGGTGGCTGGAGGTGAATGCTGAGGGGAGGTGGTTGCCGAAAGCAATTGGCTGTAGCTAGAGGCAATTTCAGGCCACGCTGGGTGGTGGCTTGAGGGTGTGGGAGAGGGAGGAAGGAATGAGAACTTGTTTTCAAAACAAGTGTAGAAAACTTTTTTTGGTTTCAAGAATTTAGTAAATTTGATGAACTGTTCAAATTTTTTTGGAAATAAAAATAAACACCAAACGAGTTTTTGTTTACAGTTTTCAAAACTTTTGTAAACAAAAACAGAAAATTGTGAACATAAACATTATTTGCATTGCAGTTGCTACTTTTTTTAGAAGTAAAGAGAATTTGTTTAACGAAGGGAGAAAATATACAGATTTAAGCACGTAAATCACAAGGAATACTCATATTTGTAAGCTGTAGAATTGAAAATTAAAGCAAAAAGTTGAGTCCACTTTGCATACAGAACTGTTGCTCCAAATCAATAGGTTGAAGTATTCATTCTCATTTGTCATCGTATATTGTCGTATCTTGCATGGTAGTTGTTTTATATGGCTGATTCTTTGAGCATTCTATATCTGGATTTATGCTAGGAAGCATGGACAAAAAATTGGACCCATGGTTGGACACAAATACATGTCGGATATGCTATGTGGTGTGTTGATTTTTTATTTTTATTTTTAATTTAGTGTACATTCCTGGACATGTCATATACGCACGACCTTAGTTTGAGAGATAACCAAGACTAGGGATGGCCAACAAACCAGGATAGTTGGGACTTCAACCCATGTGTTGAAGGTCTGAGGCACTAGTCCCAACCTACGTGGCTTCAAATGCTTACATCTGTTATATTGTTAAGAATGTGATTTAACACATGCACACAGAGGTTGATTTTGCTAAGCAATTAATGTTCGTAACATCTATGAATTGATGGAAGTCTATGAAGCACGAACACCTCTTTGGAGGTCACGTACGAGTGTCCGACATGCGTCGGATATGAACACACGCCGGACACATTCTGGACACGCTAAAAAGAGTTGGACACATTGGGACACACTATGGACACGCTTAGGACTATTTTTTTGAAAAAAATTTAAAATTTTTAATTTTTTTACTAAATAACATACTTAAAGTTTATAAATTTGATAAAATTAAATATTTGACATAAAATACATATTAAACATTTAAAAATATGACATATAATAAATATATAAATTATATTTTTTGCACGTATCCCCAACGTGTTCTGTCCTACATTTTCTGAAAATTTCCATGTGTCCGTGTCGTGTCATGTGTTTGTGTCTGTGCTTCTTAGATGGAAGTTCAACGCAGTGATTGCTAACTTTCATGTATGTTTTGACTTAAATGGTATTGGATGATGTTGTGACTTAGCATTTGACATAAATCAAGGTGATTCGATTTCTAGTTGCTGATTACATGGACATCTTTTCTGGCAGCTTATAAGAGAGCTAAGGAAAGGTTGTGCATTTGATGGATGGTGTGAAGGTACTCTAAATTTTCCGCCAACCTATAAATATGAGTTGAACTCAGAGAAGTACCGTGGGGAGGATCCGAAGGTTGGGAGGCGTGTTCCATCATGGTATGCATCTAGAAGATTTTGCTTATTCATGCGATTTAGTTCCACTTCTGATCATTGTATGCTATTTTATTGCCTCATGTCCAGTGGATGATGGGTATAGGAAGAATATCTAGTCTAACAGACAGTTTTGTGTGATGTGAATCTCTGAAATAGTTACCAATAGTTTTAGAACTTTTCACTGGGTGTATGTTTATCCTAAACCGGGCTTCACTTTGGCAGCTATGTTGATTGATTCTTTTTATTTCCCTTATTGTTGTGAATGCTCATTTGCATTTGTAGACTTTTATGCATCTTCTTCTTTCAGGTGTGACCGTATTCTTTCATTTGGGAACGGATTGAGGCTATTTAGCTACAGGAGAGCAGAGCTTAGGCTTTCTGATCATCGACCTGTTACTGCCTCATATATGGTAGAGGTTGAGGTATTTTGTCCTAGGAAGCTACAACGGGCCCTCACATTAACTGATGCAGAGATAAAAAATCAGGAAGTTGTAGCAGATAACGGAATTGATGTTGGATTGAGCACTGAAGATTGGGAGAGGTGAGTACCCTGCCTTGTGTATTTCAATTGCACAAACGTAGGGTTTTTTCTATATAACCCATACTTCGTTTCAAAGGTTTTGGCGAGTAGATTTGGTGTAGGACCTGTGCAAACAAACTCTCTGAATAGTTCTTATGTTTTTCGTTTCATTTTTAGCTGACACCTTGAAATCACAACATTAATTGCAAAATGATGTTGTTTATAGTCAGTTATTTGGTGGGCTAAAGTTTGGAATTGCTGATTTCTAAAGATGAAAAGATTTGTGGATGGGATTGGATTAAAGATGAAGTTTGTTGGGTATAAGTTATAATTTTAGAAAATTGCTAGTTAGTTCTTGATTGTGATACGTAATTGCTTGAGTAGTAAATAATAGTCTTCCAATTATCATCACTAAACACTTACTAAATTTAATTTACGTATAACGATGGTCGTAGATGTAACAGTAAAGAAGAATTATATGATTACTGTTAATGGAAATACCAGGGGGAAGGGAAGATGGAAGACCTAAGCTGACTTCATTTCCGCAATATTCCATGATCTCTCTCTGAATGACGAATTCTGTCTGCTGCAGGATGCATCTGTTTGGGAATCGTTAGGAGGGATTAATTTCTAACAAGAGGCTGTGATTGAGGGATCATATGATTTATGGAACCTGCTATTGCTACTATGCATTCATTCTTTCAATTTTGAATGTTCAGCAATCAAGGTTGTATATGTTTTCCCCCCCTCATAGCTGCTAGAATTTTTTATTATTTTTTTTTTTGACTTTTTGTATCTTGTAGTTCTTAGAATTAAGGCATCTCGGTTCATTCAGTGTATAATTATGTTATGCTAATCATATCTTGTATAATAAACATTTGCAATTTTCCCAGAAACTCTCACTAATTGCATGGAAAGCTACATATGCTGGAAGTAAAAAATAATGCGCACATTTTGTGGGGACAATTCTGCATTCTTTTGGATGCTCGGATGTTTTCTCCTTCTGAATTTTTATTTTTTTATTTTTATTTTTATTTGTGGGTAAATTACACACAGGTTTGGAAAAAAATAAGTAGTTTTATAGTTTGGATATTTACATTAGGTTTTTTTAACGTTTTAATTCACGTAACACTAATATCTTTTCATCAATAATTTGTTAATTATATGTACAGTTGAAGATGAATCAAATTATTCATGAACAATTTGAGCTCGGTTCGTTTTAAAGTTCGTTTGAACTCGATTTGTTTTTTAAATGAACAAGTTTGACTTCAATTTTTAGGCTTAGTTTATTAATTGAGGTGAGCTCGAGCTCCCAAGCTTCCCTCAATAAGATTCATGAACATAAAGAAAATCAATTAATATTTTTTAATAATATATCAAATGAATGTTCATTAATTTATTTTATTTTTCTATTTGTGTTTGCTGTTTGTGCAAAGTTTGCGTATTTGATTGATAAAATTTATTAATAATATAAGTATTTTTATATATTTCGCTCATAATCTTCTATTTTTTTTAATCTTAATAAATAAATTAGTTTTTTTTTTTTTCAAACTCGAGCTTGGCTCGAGCCGTTTTTTTAACGTTTTAATTCACGTAACACTAATATAATATCTTTTCATCAATAATTTGTTAGTTATATGTACAGTTGAAAATGTATCAAATTATTTATGAACAATTGGAGCTCGGTTCGTTTTAAAGTTCGTTTGAACTCGGTTTGTTTTTTAAATGAACAAGTTTGACTTTAATAAGATTCATGAACATAAAGAAAATCAATTAATATTTTTTAATAATATATCAAATAAATGTTCATTAATTTATTTTATTTTTCTATTTGTGTTTGCTGTTTGTGCAAAGTTTGCGTATTTGATTGATAAAATTTATTAATAATATAAGTATTTTTATATAGTTTGATTATTTTTTTCTTTAAAAATAAATAAATTAATTTAAGTTTTTGTTTTAAAGCTCGATTTCAAACTCGGTTCATTTATCTCATCGAGTTGGCTCGAGTTGAGTTCAAGTTTTTCAAATATTTGACGAGTCGGGCTCGAGCTAGATTATTTAAGCTCGACTTGAGATGGATTCGACTAATTTTTAATAAACAAGTTTGAATGATTCGACTAATTTTTAGTAAACAAGTTTGAATACTCAAACTCAGCTTGACTTAACTCATTTTAACCCTATATAGATGAAAAAATAATGTTATCATTTATTTTATTTTAAAACGTATAATTTTTTTTATATTTATCTTTGTGTTTTCAAACTATTTGCATTAGTTTTAATTTTTTTTTTTTTGATTTTACTAAAAGTGAGGTCAGTGTATTTATAATAAAACTGAGAATTATTATTATTATTATTTAAAATTTCAGTTTAATTATATCAAAATTTCGACTTCTTCCACCTATTTCATTTTAGGAGTAGTATTTGTATTACCCGGAGTTTTTAAACATCATTTATCCTGTGTTTGGCAAGGGCTTTTTCAGGCTTTTTTGGCTATTTTAGCCACAAAAAACAAAAGGGGATTTTTTTTTAAGATTCCTAATAATAACAATTTAGAGGCTAAAGGACACACAAAAAGATAGTGATGCCTCACGTCCCTGAAACAACTTGGCGCGCGTTTTTAATTATTTTGTGGACCAAAATACCCTCGCCAAAATCAACACAGAACCAAACTCATTCCGACGTCTCAGTTACATTCCAAACATCCAGCATCTTCACGAACAGGAGACCAGCAGAATTAGGGTTTCAACATCATCTGCACCATCGACATTACAGCTTCGTTATCCTCTCCAAAAATCATTCCCATTCCTTCCTCACAAATTTCTCTGACCTACGTTAAAGCTTCGTTTTCACGGCTCATCATCATCTCAGTCCATCTTCGTCACGTCGCATCTTCATCGCGGACCATATCAGCTCATCATTCAAGTTTCATCCTAACTCTGGTCAGTTTTTCTACAATACAACTAGATTTTCTCTGGAAACACAGTTAATAGCATTTTATAATAACCTTTCATAAATTAGGGTTTCAATTTCGTAATAAAAAGCTACCTGAATTTGAAAAAATTTATTTCTGTGTATTTTGAACATATTCTTCAACATGTTTGTTTGATTTTATCTGTAAATTTCTCTGGCATTTGAATTTCTCTGATTTTTGATTAATGTAATTTTGTTCTTTCAATTTTCTCTGCTTTGTAAATTTCTCTGGAATATGTATCCTTCTCTGCAATGTCAATTACACTCTTGCCCCTGTCTTAAGTTTCTCTGGTATTTATAATTTTCTCTGACCACATCACATCACTTTCCTCCCTTGTGTCTTTGTCATTTTAAATTTTCTCTGGAATTTTAATAATGTGGACTGGAATGAATGATTATATACAACAAATGGCATATTCATTCGATATATAAGATCATTCAATGCAGTTTACAGGTCAACAAAGAAAAATAATAATAAAAAAGAAATAACTGGCAGATTCATATCAAATCTCCTAATTATTAGTTACCACTTCCATAATTACAAAGTAGCAAGTTTCTTAAAGGCCCATATAAGATATTGTTCCCTAAATTCTGAAGCCACGCTTTTATGTTGACAGCCCCAAGTTTTCACCTTTGCAACAAGCAAAGGGCTTCAGGTCCATCCAAAGCTCCATAGAATATTAGTCACTGCAAAATTCATTATTAGTAGCACTTTGTCTAATCATATTTGAAAAAACTCCTTGGTTCCTTCCAAAGATAGGACACTTGAGAAAGTTGAAAGTTCAATACACAACTCAGTCAACACTTAAATGATCACTTCCCTTCTTTTTGGGCCAAAAAAATGATTTTTTTCATAATGTCTAAGGTCACTCAACCTTGATCCAGAGAAATTTCAGTCTAGAGAAATTTCAGTCCAGAGAAAATTGGTCCAGAGAAATTCTGGCCCAGAGAAATTTAAAAATTTCTGGACCGAATTTCTCTGGAAAGTCTAGAGAAATTCTGAATTTCTCAGAATTTCTCTGGTCCAATTATTCTCAAAATTTCTCTGGTCCAATTCTTCCTAGAATTTCTCAGCATTTCTCTAATGCATTGACTGAATCCCAGAGAAATTCTGAATTAGAATTTCTCTGGTCCAATTCTTTTCAGAATTTGTCTGGCCCAATCCTTCTTAGAATTTCTCTGATGCATTAACTGACTGTCCTGACCATATGCAATCGCATGCTTTTATGGACATTAGGTAGTACTTTGTTCTCTTTACTATATCACTAAGAAAATTTCCAGATCTACTGCTACTTTTAGCATACAAAATGCCCATGATTTTGTTTGGTATTCATTAGTAGTCTTTCTCTCTTGCAGTTTTTTCCCCTTGTCTTAAGTTTATGTCCCAATCCTTTACACATTGTCAATTTCTCTGACTTTGTGTAACATATAAGCCAACAATACAATCTTTACTAACAAACTCATAAATTTCTCTGGTCCAAAACCAGAGAAATTCTCTCCAAACCAGACAGATTAGAGAAATTCTCTCTATTTGCAGCAGAGTTGTATTTTTATGAACAAACCTTGGTTATTGTACATTGATCCAGGAAATTTCTCTGACTTCACAAATTTTTCTGGCTCTATTCACAAAGAATTTCTTTGACTTTGTGTAATATGTAAGCCAACAATACAGTCTTTATTAACAAACCCACAAATTTCTTTGGTCCAAAACCAGAGAAATTCTCTCCAAACCAGACAGATCAGAGAAATTCTTTGGATTGAAACCAGAGAAATTCTCTGGATTGGGTGTTGAGGATTGATCTCAAACACCCTTCTTCCTCTCATGACTAACAAATTTATTGAGAACTACAGATGCACAAGGTTCAAACTGGTTCTTATATACATATCTCAGTGACCATACATATCTGTTTGGTCAATCCAAACCAGAAATTTTCTCTGGATCACCCTAGAGAAATTTCAGTTTAAACCATAGAATTTCTCTGGACCAATCCTAAGTAAAAAGAAATGAATTGGCATTCATCACAAGAAAATTTTTCCTTTGCTAGAAAATCTTATGCAGTACCCACTTTGAAAAACACACTTCATTATTTATGCCCAAATGTCAGAGCATCGTGGATTTGTATATGCCTGATGAGTTCCATAGCGCTGAACCTCTTACTCTACGTTGGAGAAGATGATTACGCATGCACACACAGTTAGTGAGAAAAGAATCTATGTACTAACATGTTTGGAAGGATAGAAAATGGAGAGACAGATTGGAAGTGTTACTAAGAACCAAAAAGAAAGTATAGGACCCATTTATCTCGGGTTCTTTTTGTGGTTACTTCCGCAGCGAAGTGAAAGTAACTTACCAGAAAGGTTGCTTCGTTGGCGAGCTCAAGGTTACCGGAGAAGATGCGGGTCGACATCGACATGGCGTTGTTGATCAAATACACCATCACCGCCGGTCCGGCGAGTCAAAAAAGGATCTTCAATTCAATCCCACTGGCTAGCCTCATCCTCTTGAAGAATGGTAGTTGGATATCTGAAAGTACTTTTTTGAGCTTTGACCTCGATTCATAGACGGTGGTGGCAGTGGTGGACGGTGGTTCTGGTGGTTCCGAAAATGTCACTACTTTGATTGACTTCTTCCAAGCACGCAGACTCAACATTCCTGACTTGGTTATCCTCTCCGGCTATGAGAGTGTAGGTGTAATATAAGGGTATAATATATATATATATATATTTTTTTTTTTTTTGGGTAATGTATAAAGGTTTAGAATACAGAAAAATGTTTAAGAGCTACAAAAAAATCTCTCACAATTTGATTTAAAATTATGTGATATGATAGATATTAACATTTGATTTATCACACACTCAATTGTGTAGAATATATCTCTGTTTTCATATCATTATAAGTAAATTTAAGAGTCCAAATTATAAGTTGTAACATTTTCCTAAAATGCATATGGTGAGTGGAGGGTAAATAAAGTAGATGGATTTAAGGGTAAATTTAAGAGTCCAAATTATAAGTTGTAACATTTTCCTAAAATGCATATGGTGAGTGGAGGGTAAATAAAGTAGATGGATTTAAGGGTTGGTTTGGCATGAAAGTTTGGGTTGGGTTGGGGCTATTTTAATAGCAAAAAGACAAAATAAGTTTTTTTTAGTCTAATAAAATAAAATGTCACATCTAAACTACAATCATTTTATTTTTTTTTTCACAAAAGTCAAAAAAATTAAAAAATTCATTATAAATGAGATTTTTTAACCCCAAATTAAAATAGTTAAAAAATAAAAAAGTCAACTCACACTCAAAACAGAGACTTTGAAACTTTTCTAAATTGAATTAGAGATTTCTTCTAAAATAAAACATCCCAATCATGGATATTAATTACAAAAACATCATCAATATAATTCAACTTGTGCACTTCTTAAAAAAAAAAAAAAAAAATTGAATATAGCTTCTTAGGATAGGTTGGCCACTGCATTATTTGTGGTGTTTTAGAAAGTTGGTAAAAAATTAATATTTTGATTTTTTTTTACTCTTTAATGGCTTTTTTTGTGTAAAAAAATTGATTTTTTTTTTTTTTACTTTTTTATGTAAAAAAATTAAAAAGACAAAAAAATAACTTTTTTTTAGTAAGTTCCCAAATTGCCCCTTTATTAAAAAACGAAATCTCAATAGAATATAATAATATAGTTTTGACAATATATACCCAAGCATTAGCAAGTCAACAAGTTTGACCGGCAATGTACACAAATAATAATAATAATAAATAAATAAATAAATAAATAAATAAAAGAAGAAGTAATACTAAGGATCTTAAATATTTTATTAATATTTTTATCAAATATCTCAGATGGGTGAAAGACCTACATGGGACTCATATCGTGTGGGTCATACACCCATATAACACATTTGATAAAAAATACTGATAAAACATTTAGAATCTCTAATATTTTTCATATAAAAGGGGTGATGTTACATACCACCAATCTAGCCACTCCTAATTGTGTATTAATGACTAAGCATGATGATGTCAAATAAAATAATATTTTTTTTAATAAATGATGTGGATTTTTTTTTTTCAATCACAATAATAATATTTGAAATAAAAATACAAAATACTGGTTATCTAGAAAATTACCTTAAGATTTTTCTTTTCCATATTCACCTTATTTCGCCTGTTGCGAATACATTTCAAGCATTTCAACAAGTAGAAATGAAAGACATTATTAGAAAATTGTTTGTAATATTACTCTCAGTGAATATTACTCTCAATTGTTTGTAAAATTGCGAATACATTTCATTCATTTCCATATCTTACTCTCAGTGAATATTACTCTTGTTTGTATCACTACTCTCAGACCTCAAGAAAATTGAAAGACATTAGACAAAGTGTATATAGAAATGAAAATTTGTTATTGAATACTTGAAAAATTACAAAGATTACAAGAAAGATAGACAGAACATTCTTATTTACTTATAAAACTTTGCTTGACTCTAATTCTATAGGATGCAGCCACACTCCTTTTTAGGCAAACAGTGGATTTCAACTTCGGAAGTAAAATGCATAAAATTAAAAGATATGGTTCTTATAACAAGATAAGAAACCTTTTACATTTTGATTTATTAATACAAACAACTTAGTAGTGGTATTTCCACTACTTTGGTTTCATTCAGTATGTGACTCTTTTGTCTTCATTCACCATGTGATCCACGTTGTTATGTTTGCTTTACTATATCTGTTATGTAGAATTTCTTTTGACTTCTTTTTTCTTGGATTCTATCATTTGAGCCTTTCTTAGTTTTGATATTGAGGGTCTCACAATACTTTATAAGTAAAAACTAAAATTTTCAAAATTATACTAAACTTAAAAGTTTAACTGATAAAAATATTGTAAAATTTTAGGGCGACTTTATAATTTATAAAAATTGAAGTTTGTGGAAAAATGAGTAGCATTGCTTGGTGAGTGAAAAGATGACAAGGAAGTAGAGTGCTACCTGAGTGGTGCTCTTTCTGGGAAGGAAGAAAAGGTGGTCTCAAGCTTTATCCATACAAAAAAAGTGAATTGCATTAAAATAGAAAGAAAAAATATCTTTCAAAAACAGTGGAAGAATCAAAATAAATTTCAACATTAATGAAAGTTCTCAAATATAATGACAATTTTTTTTTTTGGTTGTAAAATTATTAAAAAGTTTGCCTTGTGTCTTTCCCTTCTCCGTTCTCTCTTCTCTAAAATCCTAATCTGCCAACAATTGAATAATCGATATAGGTTCGAATTGGATCTCACAAAAAATATATGGAAAAATATGTAGTTTTTTTAATCGCCAAAATTTTGTAGTTTTTTTCTTTTAAGATTTGGAAAAAATTTTGTAGTTAGAAACTCATAAATTTTATCGTAATTTTTATTTAGAAATATTACACCTATAGGCGCACATTAAATATTTAGCTAGATCTCATAAATGTTTCGTTTGAAAAGTTGACTATTTTAATAGGTTATATTAATTTTTGGTTATTTTAAGAATGTGAGGTCACTTCTGTGACCCTCGCAGCTGTGCCCTTGCTGTGCCTTTTAAACGACACCGTTTTATTTTTATTTTTATTTATTTCCTTTTCTTTCTGCTTTGTTCTTACAGTGCTATTTCAACCCCCTCTTTTCTATTTGTTCTTTCTTTTTTTTCTTCTTTAGCTTTGTTCACAGTGCTGTTTTTCAGCAGTGATGCTGTTTAAAATAATGTAATTTTTTTTATTATTTTAAAATTAATGTACCAAATAAAAAATTAATATAACTTAATTTTATATGTCTATATATAAAATTAAGCTCACCATTTTATTTATTTTTTTCTTTAGCTTTGTTCACAGTGCTGAATCTAAGATTTGAGACTCAATACGATATTTTTGGTTTTTAGTTGAAATAATGTAAAAAAAATTCATTATTATTTTGGAGTCAGTGTACTAAACCAAAATAAAAAAAGGATAATGCTGAATCTAAGATTTGAGACTCAATACGATATTTTTGGTTTTTAGTTGAAATAATGTAAAAAAAATTCATTATTATTTTGGAGTCAGTGTACTAAACCAAAATAAAAAAAGGATAACACTCCTTAACGTTTGATGAAAATACATGGATACTCCCTAACATTTTCAATATATCACAGATATCCTTTGACATTTGAAAGTTCTATCACAAACACTTTATGACATTTAATTAAATAAAAAACACACCTATCATTCAACAAAAATACATGAACACTCCTTAATGTTTTGTGAAAAAATTATGGACACCTCCTTTCACTTAAATAAATATGTGATAACATTAATTAAATTACTTATATGTATCTATGCGTGCATATGTGATAATGTTAATTAAATTATTTATGTGCATATCTATATATAATATGTAAAATTATTTTAAAAGTATGTTGTGATATTTACAATGTAGAAGAATAAATTTAACTTATATCATGTTATGAAAGTGTAACTTAATTTAATATAGTATAAGTGATAATTTTAATTAATTAATTTATATATACGCTTATATATATAGACATATAAAATTAAGTTATATTAATTTTTTTTGTTTGGTAGATTAATTTTAAAATAATTAAAAAAAGTACATTATTTTAAACAACATCACTGCTGTAAAACAGTGAACAAAGCTGAAGAAAAAAAAAAAAGGGACTGAAATAGCTCTGTAAGAACAAAGCTGAAAGAAAAGAAAAGAAAAAAAAAAAAAGTTTGTGTCACTTGGGTCTCTACTTTTCAATTGTGACACATTTGACCCTGAGTTTTGAATCTTGTTCTAAATAAGGACAATTGAAGATATTATTGAATTTTTTAAGGGCAAATTCATCAATTTGATAAAATATAAATTAATTTGACAAAAATAAAAGTCAAAAAATTATTTTTGAATTTTTAAAAATTATTTATACCTACTAAAGATAAAATTATATAAAATTGATAAATCTTTTAAACATTTATTTTTTTTTTACCAAATTAATTTTTATTATGTATTTGGATGATGATCATGTAAAATTAATTTTTAAAAATTAATCATGTAATTTTTATTAATTTTTATCAATTTTACATAATTTTATCTTTGGTGGGTAGAAATAATTTTTAAAAATTTTAAAATATTTTTTCGACATTTATTTTTGTCAAATTAGTTTATATTTTATCAAATTGACAATTTTGCCCTTGAAATTAAGTAATAGTATGTTCAATTGTCCTTATTTGAAATAAGATTCAAAATTCAGGGTCAAATATATCACAATTGAAAAGTCAAGGACTAAAGTGACACGAGTCCTAAACTATAGGAACTATTAGTGTAATATGTCCAAAAAAAAATAAAAAAATAAAAAAAAAAAGTAAAACGGTGCCGTTTAAAAGGCACAGCAGAGGCACAGCTACGGAGGTCACAATAGTGACCCCACATCTTTGTTTTAGTAGGTCAAAACATTTGTATTTAACAAGGTGATTTTTTTTTTATAATTAAATGTGATATTTGTGTGAAAAAAAATAAAATAATTATGAATTTGATTTGATATTTTATTTTAGTAACAATCTTAAATTTTTTTTTTATTATTTATTTAAAATTTATCTAAAAAATAAAAAATCTTTGCCAGACCAAAAACTCATAAATTATTGGATAAAATTTATTGAGAAAAAGGAGTGGTAGGATGATGTTGTACGTGGCACAAGACTAGCCCCGAGTACATCCTCCACCTATAGGCGCACTTTAGCATTGTCAACAGACCGACTTTCCAAATTCTTCCAAAAACACAAAGACAAGTGGCAGATCAGATCACAGATGCAACCCACAATAGTGCACATTCAAATTAAAATATCAATTAGATTACTCATGATGTTTCTTCTCAAGGTTAGCTGACGCTCACTCAATTCTCAAGAACCCCCTCATCATGTTTACGCCCTCTTTCTTTGTCGTCTTGTCTGTCTGTCTGTAATTTCCTTGTGTTTTTGCAGGCCTGGAGATCAACAGCTTTTGGGCTTTATGGGTACCTCAATTTCACCAAGGCCGGTTACTTGTATGTCCCACTTCATTAGTTTGAAGAATAATATTTGATCTGCTGAATTTTGCTCCCTCCGAATCGCCTGAATGAATGAATATCTTATCTTGTTCATTCCGACCATGTAAATATAACCAATTCGGACGGAGCAAAATTCGAATATCTTTTATCTTAGATATTCATTCTGACTGTGTAATCATGACCAATTTGGACGGAGCAAAATTTGGTGGATGTAGCATAAAAAATGAAAAAATGGGAGAACTGTACAAAAACGACACAATTCGTACTTACCCACTTGCACTCCATTCATTTGCAATCACATTCCATATAAATATATATATATATATATATATATAAATATTCTCCTTTAATTAATTGTTATTTAGTCAAGTAAATATGAAAGGATATGATGCAAAATGGATAACTTAAATGTGGATAAATTACACCCGCTTAAGCATCTGGTTAATAGGTTTTCAATCTGTTTAAGACCTCTCCAATCTTTCATCTTTTGTTTCATCAACTTTAAATTTGATGAAAAACCGTACAAAATTGGTACTACAATGCTTCATCTTTTGTTTTATCAAATTGAGAATACTGGAATTTTTCACCAAATTACTGTAGAGAGCCGCTAGCTCTTGAGTACCGGATGACTGACTGGATGTCCCCTGGTCAACCACCTCCTTGCAAATTTTTTTGAAAAATTTATACGGGCCGGTTGTCCTTCCAGTCGTCCTCCTGGTCGACTGGTGGTTTTGATGAAACCCCAAATCACTCTATTGGAACACGCGATATCAGATTAAGCTTTTTTCATCAAATTTAAGTGAAATTTGATGAAAATTTTGAATAAAGAAGTGGAGATGCTCTAACAATGTAACAATTGCCACATGTAAAATTAGGGTTAAAATGATATGAATTGGATAATGTTTACTACTTAAGATTAGTGAAGTCTATATTCTGTAGCTCAACTAAATTTGAGATAATGTGTTTTTTTCATGTATATTGATTCCTGTATGTTCTAAATTCACAAAGAAATTAAATATGCATAGGGATGCCTCTGTGCTCAAGAAAGGACCGCTCCATCAAAAAAAAGAAAGAAAAAATCCTGAAAATTTGAAGTACATACACACACACACTAGATTCTGGGCACACATGATGCTTGTGCAACTAATTTCAGGAAAATGACCCATCTCCACAAAAATCTTGCGCAAAGCAAGATTTTTGTGGGATGTAGCACAACTGTTTTGGTACTTTTGTGATGACAATTTCTTCTATTTTCATCATTGAGAAAGACAGTTCCAAATCATCTAGAGATATCGCAAGGATTTGATCTTTGTTAAATTAACTGAAGGTGTTGATATTAATGTCTACACATTTTGGTAAATGGTTCAATGGTAAAACCTTGGCTTAATAACCTTGAGGTTATAAGTCCAAATGTCGGGGCAACCACTTTGTGCACTATGCGGTTAGGTGTGTACCCAATCTTTTCCTCCCAAACACACATTAATGTGTACTAGTTGAGCGTTGTTTTTTTATTTTAGTAAATAAAAAATTGACACGAGTCATAAATGGGTTTTTGGGAAAAAATAATCATTACACAACTTCACATTTGTGTTCACACCAACTGAGGTGTCCGTTTTATAATACAGTATAGATTTCAAAAGAAAAAAAGATGGGTTGGATGGTTGATAATTATGCCATCACAGATGAAGGACATTAGATTTGAATGTTTGTTATGGTTCTCATTGATTTACTTACTGAAGCTTTATGGTTGGGTTCTTGTTAATCCTAATTCCTTGAAATTTTCTCTGCATTCTGTGGTTTATTGAACTCCAGGGAACATTCCAAAAAATTCAACCCCGAAGATACGCAAACACGCATAGAGGGGAAGAATTGCATAGTTACTGGAGCAAATTCTGGCATTGGTTTTGCTACTGCCGAGGGTCTTGCTTCTCGGTGTTGATCCTAGTTTTTACATTTGTTTATTTCTTCATCAGTTGTGTGTAAATTTGGATGACATTCACTAACAATACTTTTTATTTGTATGTTGCACAATGTTCTTCCAGAGGGGCAAATGTCTATATGGTATGCCGAAATAAGGAGAGGGGAGAAGCTGCTCGTTCTAAAATTCAGTCAACGACGGGTAATCAAAATGTTTACTTAGAGGTATGAACTCTCTTTTTGCTTTTTACTAGCTCTTTTTCAGACCCTTTAAAGATGTTTATCTATTATCATTGGCTATTGAGGAATCGTAATTTGGCTTTCTTGAGATCTATAAATGATCCATATTTGTTAGCTCGTGTTTTAATTTTAAGTGGCTTATTAAATTTATCTCACAGGTGTGCGATCTTTCATCTATCAACGATATCAAGTCATTTACGTCCAGATTTTCTTCGAAGGCTGTTCCGATTCATGTCTTGGTAAATTTTTTTTATTTAAATAATGTGACTTGTGCATAATTGATGTGATATCTAATATTGACACAATTTGTTGCCTTTAGGTTAACAACGCTGGCTTGCTCGAGCATAACCGTATTACCACTTCAGAAGGGTAAATCCTTATTAGTTCAAAATGAAATACTAAATATATATTTTTTTCTTTTTCATCTCTGGAGAAATTGATACAATTTGTTTTCTTGTTTTCTTATTTTGTATATAACACCAGATACGAGTTGAATTTTGCTGTGAATGTATTAGGCACTTATACCATGACAGAATCAATATTGCCATTGTTGGAGAAAGCTGCACCCGACGCTCGAGTTATTACAGTTGCCTCAGGTGGAATGTATACAGTTCCTTTGATTGACGATTTACAGGTGATTGATTTTGTATACTTTTCATCAATCGCTTACATTTTGCTGTTTAATATTTTTGAAATTTCTGACTAGTTGTCTTGTTACAGTTTAGCAGTGGAAAATTTGATGGGGTAGAACAGTATGCTCGAAACAAGCGAGTCCAGGTTAGATCTTTTTTCATGAGATTCTGATGACATTTTTCTTCCTGTTAAATCTTTTTTTGCATATTAATAATTATGCGATTAATGTTAATTTACAAGAATAAAATAGTAATAGTAGTTTTGCTATCGCTAAAAAAATTGAAATTGCAAGTAGCAAATTATGTTGCATTTTCAGGGAAAGGATTCTCATTGAACTGATAGAAATCTTGTCTTAGTTCATAAATTATTAATGTTCCGGATCATGTAAATAAGATTTAAAAGACGAAGGGAAAAAAAAAGGTTGAATTATGAATTACCAAATGTCAACTTCATATGAATAGATATTGCATTTAATTTAATAAAATTAATACTGCAAAAACACGAAAAGGAACAGAATGACTCATCTTATCCTAGATGTACAACATGGCCAAGCAGAAACTGGAACCATACTCTCTTATTTAATTTTAATTTACTGGAACCACATTTATGGTATTGTATATGAGATATACGAGTTGAATTTTGCTGTGAATGTATTAGGCACTTATACCATGACAGAATCAATATTGCCATTGTTGGAGAAAGCTGCACCCGACGCCCGAGTTATTACAGTTGCCTCAGGTGGAATGTATACAGCTCCTTTGATTGACGATTTACAGGTGATTGATTTTGTATACTTTTCATTAATCGCTTACATTTTGCTGTTTAATATTTTTGAAATTTCTGACTAGTTGTCTTGTTACAGTTTAGCAGTGGAAAATTTGATGGGGTAGAACAATATGCTCGAAACAAGCGAGTCCAGGTTAGATCTTTTTTCATGAGATTCTGATGACATTTTTCTTCCTGTTAAATCTTTTTTGCATATTAATAATTATGTGATTAATGTTAATTTACAAGAATAAAATAGTAATAGTAGTTTTGCTATTGCTAAAAAAATTGAAATTGCAAGTAGCAAATTATGTTGCATTTTCAGGGAAAGGATTCTCATTGAACTGATAGAAATCTTGTCTTAGTTCATAAATTATTAATGTTCCGGATCATGTAAATAAGATTTAAAAGACGAAGGGAAAAAAAAAGGTTGAATTATGAATTACCAAATGTCAACTTCATATGAATAGATATTGCATTTAATTTAATAAAATTAATACTGCAAAAACACGAAAAGGAACAGAATGACTCATCTTATCCTAGATGTACAACATGGCCAAGCAGAAACTGGAACCATACTCTCTTATTTAATTTTAATTTACTGGAACCACATTTATGGTATTGTATATGAGATTCACTAATTATATAAATCCATGTCTAATGCTATTTATGCTTGTTTTTTAGGTGGCATTGACAGAAAAGTGGGCAGAAATGTACAAGGACAAAGGGATTGGGTTCTACTCGATGCACCCTGGCTGGGCCGAGACACCAGGGGTTGCCAGGAGTCTGCCTGGCTTTTCGAAATCGTAAGCAACTTATCATCTCGATATTGGTCAAAATATACTCAAATCAATTCTACATATACTATACATTTTGGCCACTTTTGATTTGTAGATGGGATTTGGCGAGGGAAATTATCTGAGAATAACTTATCCCAAGGAGGGCATTTTAGAAATTTTGCAACTGAAGTGTTATCCCAAGATAAAATCCCAGGATGCAAGATTCTTTCATCTTGGGATTTTTTAATCTAATCTTGCCCCCATATCCGCAAATCAAATGTGACTAGGGTACTAAATATGATTTCACTTTGTCACAAATGGTTGTTGTTGCAGGTTATCGGGAAAGCTTAGAACAAGCGAGCAAGGCGCAGACACTGTTATGTGGTTGGCTTTGCAGCCGAAAGAAAAATTGGCGACGGGTGCATTTTATTTTGATAGAGCTGAGGCTCCTAAACACCTGATGTTTGCAGCTACCAGTGGCTCTCATGTTGCTATAGATTCTATCCTTTCCTAAACACCTGATGTTTGCAGCTACCAGTGGCTCTCATGTTGCTATAGATTCTATCCTTAATAGTCTTCGTTCTTTATCCACTCTTTCATCGTAAATCGACACAACCATTTTGTCATAAAGTGAAACATTTCTTTGTAAATCGAAACATACTCGTACTGTAAGACACTATTTGAAGAAGATGTTCATGAATCAAAAAAAAAAAAAAGTGGTGGTTGTGATTTTTGTTTATTTATTGATACATTTTTGTTCCTAAAAAATATGATATTGCACCAGCCGGGAATCGAACCCGGGTCTGTACCGTGGCAGGGTACTATTCTACCACTAGACCACTGGTGCATTTTAATGAGTGAGTCGCTTGCAATTTTATATAATTTAAAGAATGTGACTTGATGCAATGCTTTATTTAAGATGCTAGTTGGATCATATTATTAGATGATATTATGTGAGGGAGAATACCGTCGTACGCACTCTCAAAAGCTGTGTATTAGATATAAATTATGATATTTGTAAGATTGATTTTTATTTTATGAGCCATAACTAAAAATAGTGTAAATTACAAATATATCATCTAAGATTTGTTTAAAATACAAATTATTTATTGTGATTTGAAAAATTACAAATACATCTTTATTAGAATTTTTGTTTAACATAATTAAAAAAATAAAATTTATAGCTTCCTTTTTTTTTTTTTATTATAACAACAAAATTACTTGAATTATTAATTAAAATAAATTTCTTACATTATTAAAAAATTGTTAATTGGTTTAATAATTTATTAATAAAAATAGTTATTTGTTATGAAATTAGAATCTTCAAGGGTCGGGATGTAATTTTCAAAATCATAGATGACAAATTATATTTTAAGCAAACTTCATTTAAAATGGAGTGCTACTATAAGCACCTACCTAATTTCTTTAGACCCTCTAATTTTCACTTCTTTTTTTTTAATTACAATTATATCTTAAAGTAAAATTATATTAAAAGACAACTTTTAATAGAATACTTACCCATCAAATGAAAGACAATTAAAATAACAATTTACAATATTGTATATCCACCTCCATTCCATCTAAACGTATTCCTCACCAAGCTAAACCCTAAATGCATTCCTCTTTATCGTCATCCTAAACCCTAAATGTATTCTTTTTCATCACCATCATAGTCCGGTCCAAATCAGTTAATGTTTTAAACAATCCTATTACAGACTCCAAGTTTCTCCAATCAAATTTCCATTTACATTTGTAGTCGTTTTCACCATTCATTGATATTTATAGAGCAATGGAGGATGATGACAACAACTCTAATGAGGTTGGCATTGCATTGGTAAGTTTATCTATCTTGCATCAACGATTCTTAATTATTTTCAATGGTTGCTGTTTTGCTTGAGCTTGTTCAGGACTGGTTTGTCGAATATTAAGGTTTTGTTCTGTAACATAGTGCTTTCAATATATGGTTTCGAACAAAACTTTTATTTTCGGCACTATTCAACTGAACATAATTTCTGACGAAACGAAGAGATTTTTTGACGAGTCAAAGAAAAGACGATGAGGGTACTCCAAAGGTAGCAAGTGCAGCAGCAGCTCTGCCGTCTGTGATGGTGAAAGGGGGGGCAAGGACAGTAGGCTAGGCGGCTAGCATTGTACAGTTAAGCCTTAGTTGCTGGAAAAGTGAGAAACAAATAGAGGCACACCATATTTGGAAGAAGAAGAAGAAAAATGAGGAGGAGAAAGAGGAGGAGGAGGAGGAGGAGCAGAGAGAGAGAGATAGAGAGTAAAATTAGGTGAGTGTGTACTTGAATGTGATGATATTATTAATAGAAGTAAAATTAGTATTAAGTGGAGTATTCAAAGAAATCTTATTAAAATTTAGAGTTTAGGGTAGGAGTTCAAAGAAATTTGGAAGGGAGGGTTCTAAAAAATTAAGATAGGTAGTAATAGCAACACTCTTTAAAATGCTATTTGGATCATATTATTAGACTAAAATGTCTATTTTAACATTTTATTATCTTTTATGTTCAAACGTTGGTGGCATTCAAAACACTCATTAAGTAATATCACATATCACATTTTCTAATCACATTATTTTTATTTTTATTTTTATCCCATATGTTATTAAAGTAATTAGGTGAATTCATTTGGTAAGAGGAATGATAATTGTATTATTTATACATGTCTTGCTATATTAAATAACCAAATTAAAAAAAATCATAGCATTCATATAAAATTCAAACATGTATAGAGAGAGAATATGAATCCTTGAAAGGCCCAGTAGAATCACAGTTTGAATTTGTTATGGGCAATTATAATAATAAAAAAAGAAAAAGAAAAAAGAAGCAGATGCCCAAGTTGCAAGGCCAGCTTTGCTTCAAGCATATAATCATTGTCTCCTAGCAGTTACTACCGAATATCCTCTTTCTATCAAATGTTTGACCTCTTCCTTCACCAGTGAATCAGAAACAATCTCTCAAATTTTTGCACTCTTGATGATTTATGATCATGAACACACACACACCATTCACTTGTTTATTCATTCTTTTAGTGGTGGAAACACTACTTTTTCTTTCTTTTTTTTCTTCTTTTTCTTCTCTAGTGGCCATTGGATTTTCACAAAGTAGATCAACAACACATTTGAGTATGGCTCCCCAAAAGGAGGGTGAAGGATATGTACATATCTCTCACCCATTAAAACTATCATGATTACTGATAATAATGGTGATTACTACATTTACACATATACTACTAGTAAGCATATCACTCGTATGCATGTACGAGATAAAATAATACATTATTTATTATGATAAGTATATTTATTTATTTATTTTGTCTCTCGTAAATAAAATTTTATATATACGTTTAAAGGTTTTGTTTCAAATGTTTCTTTACTATAATATATATACATAGATTAAAATTATTGTATTGACAATTAATAATTAAAATTATGTTTTGTTATAAAAAAATAACATAGTTCTAATATTTCACTATTTTAGAATAAAAATATATGAATTTTAAAAAAATTGTCATATTAGTTTTTGAAAGGAAAATAATTAAAGAAATTTTAAAAACTTAATGAGTAAGAAAAAATTATCATAACATGTAAAACTGTTACAATCACGGTTAAACCAATGAATTATTCAAACAAAAAATGGTTTAGCTTAATCAATTAGGTCAAAAGACCAACCAGCTTACACAAAAATTAATTAATTAAAAATTTTAAATTTTATTTTATTAAAATTTAAGCTGTCACTAAATATGGAAAGCAATCTATTAATTTAAATTTAAAATTGACACAATATAAATTAAAATTATCATAATTATCTCATAATTTATATATTAAGGAGTAGTAAGAGTGACATTGAAATTATCAATATATTTATATATTTTACAAAACAATATTTTTAAGGAGAGATATTATGAGGGTTTTAAAATTTTACACAAAATTATTTTTAAAATCAAAATCTCTATGTAGGATTGTAAAATAAAAGTTCAATGAAACTAGCTAATCGGGATTTTCTTTATTGTTTAAAATTAAGAAAATCAAAAAAATTAGTATGAGATATTGATCATAAGGCTTCTCACTAAAAATCTCTTTTTGCTTATATAAATGAGAGTATAAGATTCATTTTATGTATGTGAAACAATTCATTTTTTTTATTTTTTTATTTTCGATGTGGGATTGTAAAATAAAAATTAAATGGAAGCTAGTCAATGAGAATTTTCTTAATTGTTTCAAATTAGGAAAATTCAATAATTTATATAAATGGGAGCATAAGATTCACTTTATTTACGTAAAACAATTCACTTTTTTCTTCTTTTTCCAATGTGGGATTGTAAAATAAAAAATTAAATGGAAGCTAGTCAATGAGAATTTTTTTAATTGTTTAAAATTAAGAAAAATTAATAATTTTAATATGAGGGTTTGAAACTCCTAGAAATTTTCTTTCTAAAAATCCCCTTTTGCTTAATATATAGTATAGATAAGTGAAATAACTCACTTTTTCCTTCTTTTTCCAATGTGGGATTGTATAAAATAAAAGTTAACAGTTGTTTGGACATAAAGTTTATTTTGAATCAAGCAATCTTAGCTTTTTAATTTTTAATTAGGTCAATTTTTAATTTATTTTGAATCAAACGAATCTAACATATATATATTTTGATAAAACCGTTAAAATCATAGTTAAACTAGCGAATCAGTCAAACTGAAAATGGTTCATCCTATCGGTTAGGTCAAAGGGCCAATCAACTTATACAAAAATTAATTAATTAAAACTTTTAAATATTATTTTAATTTTAAAATTTAAACTGTCTTGAACTAAAACATGTACAACACTATAATATTAAATGGGAGTATAAGATTTATATAGTGAAACAACTCATTTTTTCCTCATTTTCCTGATGTGAGATTGTAAAATAAAAGTTAACAGTTGTTTGGACGGAAAATTCATTTATAACCAAGTAATCTCAGTCGTTCAATTTTTAATAAGGTTAATCTTAATTTATTTCAAATCAAACAAATCTAGGCAATATATTTTGATAAAATAGTTAAAACCGCAGTTAAACCAGTGAATTAGTCAAATCGAAAACGATTTAGCCAAATCGGCTAAGTTAAAAGACCAACTAATTTACAACAAAATTAATTAATTAAAACTTTTAAATTTTATTTTAAAATTTAAACTATCTTGAATTGAAACGCACAATATTACAATATTAAATGGGATTATAAGATTCACTTTATATAAGTAAAACAACTCACTTTTTCTTTCTTTTCTAGATGTGGGATTGTAATTATTTTAAAGTTAAATATTATAAGAATTTCAAAATCTGATACAAAATTATTTTTAAAATCAAAACTTCTATGTGAGATTGTAAAATAAAAGTTAAATGGAAACTAGTCAATGAGCATTTTCTTAATTGTTTCAAATTAAGAAAATCAAAATAAATTGGTATGAGATATTAATCATAGGGTTTCTCACTAAAAAAAATCTCATTTTGCTTATATAAATGGGAGCATAAGATTCACTTAATGTATGTGAAACAATTCACTTTTTTCTTTTTTTCCCAATGTGGGAATATAAAATAAAAGTTAAATTGAAAATAGCCAATGGAGATTTCCTTAATTGTTTAAAATTAAGAAAATTTAATAATTTATATAAATGAGAGTATAAGATACACTTTATGTAAGTGAAACAATTCAATTTTTTTTTTCTTTTTTTTTCCTGATATGAGATTGTAAAATAAAAGGTAAATGGAAGCTAGCCAATAAGAATTTTCTTAATTGTTTAAAATTAAGAAAATTCAATAATTTTAGAATGAGTGTTTGGACATTCTAGAAGGTTTCTCCCTCAAAACTCCATTTATAAGATTTACTTTATATAAGTGAAACAATTCAAGCAATCTCAGTTAACAGTAAAATAAAAATTAACAATTGTTTGGGCGGGAAGTTTATTTTTAATCAAGCAATCGCAGTTCTTTATTTTATTTCGAATCAAACAAATCTAACCAATACATTTTGGTAAAACCGCTAAAATCACAATTAAACCAGCAAATCATTCAAATAAAAAACAATTTAGCTTAATCAGTTAGGTCAAAAGACCAACAAGTTTACACAAAAATTAATTAATTAAAACTTTTTAACTTTTATTTTATTAAAGATTCAATTGTTACTAACTATGGAAAGCAATATATTAATTTAAATTTAAAATTGACACAATATAAATTTAAAATTATAATAATGTATCCCATGATTTATAAGTTTTAAATACAAATTTAAAATTATTATAATTATCTCATAATTTTTGTATTAAGAAGCAGTAAGAGTGACGTTGGGATTATCAATATATCTATATATTTTACAAAAGAATACTTTTAAAGAGAGATATTATGAGAGTTTCAAAACCTCATACAAAGTTATTTTTAAAATCAAAACCTCTATGTGAGATTGTAAAATAAAAGTTAAATGGAAACTAGCCAATGAAGATTTTCTTAATTGTTTAAAATTAAAAAAATCAAAAAAATTAGTATAAGATATTGATCATAAGGTTTCTCACCAGAAATCTCCTTTTTTGTTTATATAAATGGGAGTATAAGATTCACTTTATGTAAGTGAAACAATTCACTTTTTCTTTTTTCTTTTTTCGATGTAGGATTGTAAAATAAAAGGTAAATGAAGATTAGCCAATGAGAATTTTCTTAATTGTTTGAAATTAATAAAATTCAATAATTTTAGAATGAGGGTTTGGAGCTCCTAGAATGTTTCTCTCTAAAAACCCAATTTTTCTTATATAATATATAGATAGATAGCGAAATAAATTTTACTTTTTCTTCTTCTCCAGATGTGAGATTATAAAATAAATCATAAACTAATTAAAGTTTTATTTTTACATGGTTAAATGGAGGTGAACCAATGATTTTTTTTTAATTGTTTAAAATTAATAAAATCAGTATGAGACATCGTGATTAAACCGACAAATCGGTCAAACCTAAAATGGTTCAGCCTAATCGGTTAGGTCAAATGACAAACCAACTTATACAAAAATTAATTAATTAAAACTTTTAAATGTTATTTTAATTTTAAAATTCAAACCGTCTTGAATTGAAATATACACAATACTATATTATTAATATTCACTTTATATAAGTGAAACAACTCATTTTTTTTTTTCGATGTGAGATTATAAAATAAAAGTTAACAATTATAAGTTTATTTCTAATCAAGCAATTTCAGTTTTTCAATCTTTAATCAGATCAATCTTTAGTTTATTTCGAATCAAACAAATATAATCAATATATTTTGATAAAATCGTTACAATCATGGTTAAACTAACGAATCAATCAAATCAAAAATAGTTTAACCTAATCGGGTAGGTCAAAATTAATTAATTAAAACTTTTAAAATTTAAACTATGTTGAATTGAAACATGCACAATATTACAATGTTAAATGAGATGAGAGTATAAGATTCATTTTATATGAATAAAACAACTCATTTTTTTTTCTTGTTTTTTCGATGTGGGATTATCAAATAAAAGTTAGCCAATGAAGATTTTCTTAATTGTTTAAAATTAAGAAAATCAAGAAAATTAATATGAGATATTGAACTCTCACAAGCTTCCTCATTAAAACCTCTCATTTTCATTATATAATATAAACAGATAGATTATAAAATGGAAATGACAAAAAAGCCCTTCATTTTAGCAAATTATGAGGAACCATTTTCACCAATTTTATTCAGGGAGACTCTTCTTCTTGAGGGGGCTAGTACCTAAGACCCAAGAGTCTAGGCTTCCTCAACCAGTACTGCTCAAACCTCTGCCTTGCATACTCCATGTAATCAAACTCAATGTTGTTCACATAGGCCTACACACCACCAACAAACAAACAAGAAAAAATTTTAAAAAAATGATCAGTCAATGTTAAGTCTTTTAGCAATACTACATACCAAGAAAAAAAATTCAGAATTTGAAATGTGTGAATTAGAATCATTGTAGTGTGACTCACACGCCACCAAATATAAATCCACACCATGCACTCTACTTTTTGGGCAATTTTTGGATTTTTATTTTTGTCTGGGTACAGACATTTTCCTAAGCGGTGGATTATAGCATAGACCAACTAAGGCTATATTTGGAGCTTGGATTTGTGGATGAAAAAAAAGAAGGAATGGGAAAAGAAAAATGAAACAGAAGCATATAAATTCAAGATTCAAAATCCAAAAAGAAGCCTAAAAGCAGCCATACTTACAGAGATTATTCCCCATAAACCCCAAAACAGATGGTTTGCTAATGTGTACTTCTCTGTATCATGCACAAGCTGGTCCACTTCATTGTCACTGGGTTGATTTCCTACACACAGTGATGGAGATTTTAGATAAATCAAAGTGAGAACCCACTTGAGATATTAGCATAATAATGCCATATAAATCAAATATCATCCAACTAAGAAGAAAAAGAAGAAAAATATCATCCAGTTAACAAGACACAAAATAGTTTCCTTTCTACTTTCAGGGGTTGCTTTCAATCAAAGGAATAAATTGACGCAGTGCCAACCGCTTGATTGGGATGTATCTATGACTTCATCAATTAACAAAGTTTAAAACCTTCTTGTTATTATTGTCATAGTTGTTCCAAGCAATCAAACAAGAAATTCAGGGCAGCAAAGGGTAGAAAAGCATATATACTATGAAATTTCACAGTTCCTCTTTGAATTTATGTTTTTCAATGGTCACTTGAGTAGGCTACTAATCAAGAATGATCACACTAGGTGTCCCTTATTCATACTTAACAAGAAATTTGAAACTGCATTGACAATTGATTGGCGTATAAGGGGGCGGAATGGGACTATTTTACCTGTGGTAAAACCATCCCATATTTGTTTCTTATTTTGTGATCTGGAATAACTTATCGGGACAACTTATCCTTCCAGTCTAAATAGACCAAATATGAGGTGTGTTTTATGCAGCTTCACAAAGATCAAACATAATTCTAGAAATCCACATACTTTTCTCTCCTAATTATCCAAATGAACATCTAACGAAATGGACCTACCTCCAGAACTGAGATATACTTGCACAAATCTCTGACGCTCCTCCAGACCTGTTGGTTAAGAAAAGAAAACTGATTCAAGTCCAAGTATGCAGCATAATCTATTTTTATTTTTATTATTTATTTATTTATTTTTTACTATACAAGAGGAAATGATACAAAATTAAGGCCACTGAAAATCATCAGCAAGAACAACCAACAATTTCTTACCAGGGTACACACTGTAGTTCAAAACATGAGGCGTGTTCGAATGATAATTTGCTACCATCTCACAGAAGTGATTTGCAAGGTCATAGGCTACAGGATTGTAACTTGCATACTCATAATCCTGCAAAAAGAGCAAATAAGTTCCAAGAAGTTTAATTACCAAAAAAAAAAAGTTTCAAGAAACGAACTTGATTGGGAAGAAACAATTCAATCGTCTTTCTGCAAACATGGAGAAGAATTGCAGCTAAAGGAAAGTGTTTGGTCAGATGGAAAATTCATTTTCAATTCTGTGAAATTGTTTGGATGTTTTCCCATTTCCATAATATTTCTCTACTCTTATAGCTAATGGTTTACAAAATAATTATGCTTCCTCCCTACAAAAAGTAGACATTCATTAATTTTCTCAATCTATTTTGTTTCAGAAACAACATTTTTACTTTCTATGTGAAAGGATAGATTCAGATTCCCACTCTTGCAAGAATGGACTAACAGGGTCAGCAACCCAGCTAACCCTCCTAATTAAATACCGTTACTGTCCAGGATCATAACAATGAAATCTTCCGAAAAACAATTGGGGGAATAAACTATAAAATAGAATTTTTTGTACCAACAATTATACAAAAAATTAACCATAATGGCATAGATGACTTACAATTATAGTGATTGATCTTGTTTTTTCATTGATCATTATGTTACCATATTGCAAGTCATTGTGACAAAACCCGAGATCTTGGTGCTCCCCCCACAACTCTGTTTCCAGTACACAAATCTCGTCCTCTAAAGCATCCAAGCAAAACTCTCTAGCATGTTCACGGGTACACAAACTTCTGGCCTGACTTAACCAGTTTCTGAGATTGAAAATTAGGTGTTGATTTTAAATGTGTATTTGTAGTACAAGTGAAAGTAAAAAATAAAAAATAAATGGGTAGGCAGATAAATACCTCATTCTGTCCCAGAGGACCACGGTTTTTGGACCGGGCATGTCAAGATTGTGGAAATCCTTCACCTTAGATGCTATCAGAGCAGATACAACAGGGTCACGAAGATCAACAGCCGATAGTGTCTGCAAAACAAAAAAAGGAAGGTAGTATAAACAATTAAAGAACACATAATGGGTCCTTTAAAGAACATCATTTAAAAACAGTTTTCCAAAACAGTTTTCTTAGTTTCCAAAAAATAAAAATAGAATACTGAGCAGACACAAAAATGAAATAAATTTAAATGGAAATAAGATAATATATTTTAGTGATCAGAGTTTCATCATACCCTAGCATGAATGAACTCCTCGACCCGGCCCTCTGGGAACTGGCCAAGAAGGTGAGGACCCTGGCCGTGCCTCGACAAACACTCAAACGTCCGAATTTCATCATTCCGGTTGAAGAATCGGTCAGCTCCTTCACCATAAATTCGAACCAAAACTGTTCTGGAATCATTTGCCATCTTTGTAGGCCAGCTTATCCTGTAAACTTCATTAGTCATAGCACCACTTAGGTGAACCACTTTCAAGGTGTTTGAATCAATCATGTCCCCCCAATTTGAGGCCAGTGATAATAGTAGCTTTATCAATTCTTCTGGTATAGTGAACCCATTTGTCTTAACCGCCATTAGATAAGCTATGCAAAGGCGTTTAACCTGACCTGATGACAGAAAATGATGTTTGGTTTCACTTTTTTAGCAAATTATTTCCAAAATTTAAACTTAGCAAACATTATAGAGTTGTTTTCGAATTTTTAAAAATAGAATGATATGAAAATAATGGATTTTTTAAGACTTTACATTATTTTGTTTATGAAAAGATGAAAAATGAAAATTAAAAAGTGAAAGCGAAGAAAATAAAAGCACAACCAATTCTAACACTAACCATATTAAAAAATTGACTAGATTGGACCAAACATTGTTTCTCTACTTACATATTTACAGTTACAGACAAGCACATGTATTAACAGAGAAATCAAAGAGCTTACCAAGAAACTAGGATTAGGTAAGAAAGTTGTAGAGCTTTATAACAATCCAAAAGCCTTGGCGTTTTTGACTAACAAAGTCAGAAATTAAATCAACTGGGCTTTGGAAGTTTAAATTTAGAGGAGAGGTATGTATTGGTATATATAGATGATTGTGTGTATCAAATAATGTAACTTTATCACTATATGGACCAAGAATCTGCTTTCTCTCGCTTTCTCAATAAAGTATCCAAGCTTTTGTTTTTTTGTTTTTCTTTTCAAATTCATGATCTAAATACAGACTTAAAAAGTGTTATACAAACTTACTGTGATGTCTCGGGTCCTAGACTTGGCTAGTATTGCGTAGTCAGGTGGTTTGTTTTGCTTCCGGCATTTTGATTTTTGTATTGGGTCGTTGAGGTTTCATTTCCGCTCTTACTTAACCTCTCTTAATGCTTCTGGGTTGAAATTTTGAGTTTTGGGTGTTGGAACTTGTAGCGGGGTGTGGAATCAAAATTTTTGGCTTTGGCTGGCAAAACTACTAGTGCAGATTTAGTAACCGCTCGAGCGGAATCACTCAAGGATTTTGGGAAATTCTGGACAGAAAACTGCTTATGCTGATCTGTAAACTGCTAACAAAATCTGGGTTTTTCTCTGGCTCAAACCGCTCGTGAGAGGCATCAGAATCCGCTTGTGCGGATTTGGAATTTCGCTCGTGTGGTTTTTGATGCGTCTGTCTCAAATTTTGAGCTCTTTTCCTCAAATCTGATGCCAAAAACGCATTTTACACACTTTTTCATAACTCTCTCTCTCTCTCTCTCTCTCTTTATATATATATATATATTCATATTTTCTCCTCCATCTCTCTACAAACCCACCCAAACCCAAACTTCTCTCTAAGATTTAGCAAAAACTATCAAGATTATGATAGGGCTTTTTACACCAAATCGAAGAGGGCGACGAGAGTTACGTTTTCACCGATCGAATCAAGTTTTCGTCAACGTTGGATTTTAGGGTTCTTCTCTCTTTCCTGTTCCAAGCTTGAGGTAGGAATATTCTTAGAGTTATATATATATATTTGCAAGTCTATGCTTGTTTGGAACCTTCTCCTATATTTGAACTATGATTTTTGGGTTCTTGAACTCTAAATGATATTAAAAGAGGTTTGTCTCTATATTTTCCCCCAAACTTTGAGGGTATGAGCTATGTTGTTAAGTATGAGTGTTGTCTTGGAAAAATCTTTTCAAAAATCAAAAAAAAATCTAGTTTTGGTGGAAACCCTAGAAAATTTGGAGCTTTTGGGAAAAGTGTGAGTTATTATGAAATTCATACTTGATTAATTATTATGGTGAATAATTGATGGATGGATTTCTATAATTGTATCAAATGAGGGATTCCAAGAGAAGGGTTGGGGGGGGGGGGAAAGAGAAATGTTTGATTTTGAAGCTTGATGAATAGCTTATTGTTGGTTTGTCTTGAAAAGACCAAGTTTGAAAATGATGACTAATACATGGAGAATGCATGTATGATGATATTGTTATTTATCTCTCGAAATATATATTATGATGTTACATTGAGAAGAGATGTGAGAATTTGATCACAATGGAAGATTGTATGGTGGAATTGAAAATGGAACTATTATAATGTATTATTACATGTTGCATTGCCATTCCATTTCATCTTCGTTATCATTGATTTCGAATTTTGCATTTAAAAATTATTGTTTTGAGAAAGAAATTGTTTTGTAAAACAAGATCATTTTGAATTGTTTTGGGATAAATACGCTGATAAGTTTGGATAGAGGGTGTAGGTATTGGTTAAGTTGGCCTGAGTGGTGAATGGTAGTGCTTGATATGCTTATTTGCAGACACCAACCTAGGGATTACTTGAGCTGTGTTTATCATCCTTTGAACTATATTGAAGTTGTTGAATTTTTGAGTTTTCAAATTTGCATTGAGCACAAGATTTTCAAAAGATAGAGAAATATATTTTGAGCATGACATGACATATGCATTTATCTTAGCAGACTGTATAAAATGTATATACTTTGTTAAGATCTTTCTACTGGGCTTTGTGCTTACCCTAGTGGATTTGTGCAGGAAAAGATATGGTGATTCCGCCGAGTTCAAGGTGTGGAGTGTATTTTGAGAGCACAAGGCTTTTTTGTTTTTTTTTGTTTTTTGACAAGCCAAGAGCTTTACATATATGGATTTTGATAACCATTTTGTGTAACCGGGCATAAGCCTTGGAACTTGTAGCCCTTGAGGGCATTAAATTGTATTCGTCTTGATGTGCCACATGCTATAGATTCATATTCTAGGAAATGTTGAGTGTATAATTGTATGTCGAATACTTTTGTTAATCTCAAGAGTATAATGAATACAAATGTTAGAGTTTTTATGATGATGTTAATGATGAGGCATTATATCTCATATACATTTATGCAATCGAAGTGATTAAGTTGGAAACAAGATCATGTTGTTGGAATATGTTGAGTTTTCTTATGTTAATTATTTTGGGGCGTTGCAAATTGGTATTAGAACTACCGAGTTTGAATATTTAGGGTTCACGGGAAGTGGTTGTTTTTCCATGAGGGGTTCATTTTGCTAAACCCGGAGATGTTCCATGTTTTAGGTGTTATGTGATAACATGCTTATATGACTAGATGAGTATGTGATTGAACTTTTAGGATGTTATTTGTGCCTATTAAATTCCTTGAAGCCTTATTAGAAGGGCACTTGATCAATGCCCATTCTAATAAGAATTCTCAGTATTTCCTGGGACAAATTTCATCGTAAAAGAGTAATCTGTATGTGTTTAAGTGATTAAGTGCTTATGTGGAGTGAAACTAAACATTTACATGAAATGAAAACTTATAAAATTATTGTGATGGGACGTATGAGATAAGTTTAGTTGGGGTAGTAGATTCCTTTCATAATCTTTGCGAATAGAGAGTTCAAATTTTTTTTTAATCTCCACCCTTGGCGAGCAAGGAGTGCTTTATTGAAAGCCCGAAAATCCCAAAAGCCTAGTTCACCACTCCTCTTCGTCAAGCATAGTCTACTTTAACAGGCCTAGTGGATGCCTCTTCCCTTCGGATCACCTTTCTACTAAAAATTCCTAATGTAGGAACTCAATTTATCACATAGCTTATTGGGGAACAAAAAACATGCCATTGCATAAGCTGGCATTGCCTGGGCAACTGATTTAATTAGGACCTCCCGATTGGATTGAGAAAGTAATTTCGCCTTCCATCCTTGCAATTTAGATAGGACTTTTTCACACAAAAAGTTATAAGTTTTAGCCTTTGAACGACCCCAACACGAAGGCAAGCCCAAATAATAAATGGGATTCCAAGTAGTCCACACATCTCAAGTTGCCGAGACCGAGATACATTGCTTGAAAATTGCACTCCCGACTTGTCAAAATTAACCAACTAGCCCGAAGCTTCACTATATACATTTAGCAATCTACGAACCTCAAGACATTGCCTCAGCCCTAAAAAACAACACCGTGTCATCTGCAAAAAATAAATGTGACAAGGTAGGACAACCCCTTCGAATTGGCAATCTCGAATTTTTTCCATTTTGTACACTATGAGTAATTAATTTTGAAAAAACAGCCATGACAAGAATAAACAAGTATGGGGATAAAGGGTCCCCCTTGTTGTAGTTCCCTCAACGGCTTGAAACTCGTCCTCTTTGCCCCATTTACGATAACCCAAAAAGTCACCATGGTAACACATTCCGTTACCCATTGGATCCAACGAGAGTGAAATCAACAAAGCTTTCAAAAAACCCCAATGAACACGATGATAGGCTTTATTGAAGTCCATTTTATGTGCTAAATCCTCCCTCTTGCATTTCTGTATCTTTATCGCATGAAACGCCCAATGAGCCACTATAATGTCATCTTGGATAAGAACGTCATATGTCCTTTAGTTACAACTTTTGTGATTTTTAGGTATGACTTGTTGAGATATTAGTTATGACTTGGTTATAACTTAATTACACACATTATGATATTAATTATGACAGTATTTTAATTATATCTTATATGATATTTGGTTATAACTCATTTCTTTTTTCATTTTATTTATGATTTTCATAAGATTGAGTTATGACATTTGTTATAATCAACTCTGCAAATGCCATAGTTAAAATTATCATTATTATAAAATAAAAAAAAGTAATATAATTTTGTTTAAATTATGAAATTAATTATAATTTTTTAAGGTTAAATACAAAAACTCCTTTAATTATTAGTGACTTTGCTCTCCTCATTTATGAATCTATAAAAATTGACTCATTCCACTATAAAAATCGTATGAATACTATCTTTTTTGAATATAGTTTGAAAGGAATGAAAGTAATACATTTTTATAATTAAAGAGTTCAAAATATATAAATTCATAGATGAAAAGTAAGTTAATATTCGTCAATAGTTTCTGTGAGTGTCGAGATTAGTTGAGATGCACACAAACTAATTTGGACACCTGTCATAAAAAAAATTAATTAATAATTAAAGAGGAAATATCATTTTGCTCCCAAATTTTCATGCTTTTTTTTAATTTGACCCACAAACTTCAATTAATATCAATTTTACACCCAAACTTTCGAAATTTTGATCAATTTGGCTCCTGCCGTCGCTTTTCGTCTACAATTAGATGGAATGTGCTGACGTGACACCAAAGTTCATTTGAAATTTCATTTTATCCCCCAAACTATACATTAAAAATCAATTTTTCCCCTAATATAAAAAAAAATTAAATTTAAATATTTAATAAATATTTTTTTTTATCTCAATGATGAAAAAATTAAATTTTAAATAATATGTACTTTGCAAAATAATAATAAAAAAAATAAAAAAATCTTCATTTAGAATTATCTCGAGACTATGAAGCATGGGTACTTCGAAAGATATGTCATACCTATACCGGATACTTACCGAATTTTAAAAATACTTTCCCACTCAATTTTGAAATTACTATTAGTCAATCAATTCTATTAAAATTAATTTAGCTAATAAACTAGTTACAATTGCGAGTGAACACGCACACATAGAGTACCCAAGAAATTTTGGCTCAATAAGTTTTTCCATGATGGGTTTGAGGTAATTTGAGACCTATGAAATACATGTACTGATATGAGTCCTGGTATTGGTACGATACGGGTACGTCAATA